AACCAAGGGCAGACATTTGCATGCTGAAGAAATTCCCCATTAAAAGTATCCCTTGAGCTGTTTCTTTGCTGATTTATTGCTTGGCATTTCTTTTTCACACTTTATAGCTGACCTAAACACACCCTATTAGAACCAAGTATATTATGATTGGGTCTTTATTTTATATAAGAAAATAAATGAATAATTATTATTCCGTAGTACAAGACTTTGCTTATTAAAGTGTTCTGTTCATAAAGAGAATTTGGGTTTACAGATAGACTCTCAGTGGACTCTAAAAAATGAGAAACCAGAGGCACCGCTGTTAAAATTTATAGTACTAATTATTTTTGTGTTCTAGAAGAAAAGTTCATTGTGATGGATAGCCTATATTAACCAAGTACACAGAAAAGTCCCCAGATAGCTGGTGCTATTGCAGTAGACCAGTTAAGAACCCGCTAGAGCAAAGAGTGGGAAAAGTTTAAAAAATTATTTTCTTTTGAGATTGTTATGTACAGCTGAGGGGTGAGACAGCACAAAGTGCCTATTCTGAAATGAAAAAGAGCTATTAAATCATTCTCATCAGCATGACCTCACTCTTTCGTCCTTCTGGTGGTGATTGGTTGCTCAAATGTCTGTCGTCAAGGCTTCTCCAAGCAGTCAACCTTAAAAGCAACATGAGAAGACCCCTCTCTCCCGAAGAGCACAGACTTTCAAAGCTTTTAAATAATGGTAATAATGTTCACTCCTATGGCAGCAGAACTTTACGAGGGCAGTGACCCTCAATTTCAGTGGAGCAAAACCTTACCCCTCCCAGAGAATGTGTTGTCTAGAGCCTCCTCCATACCCTTCCTTTATCCTATTTGTGCATAAACCCATCCCGGCATTCGAAGAGCTAGCTGCTGTTTGCATGAAATAAGTTTCACAAAACTACTGTCTCTCCGATCATTGATGATGCTGAAAAATACACCATCATTTTTCCCTGGTTACATCCAGATAAAGGCATTTTCCTACAGCAAGAAAGCATACTGCAAGTAACAACCAATGCTTTTAATTGGGATGAGAATGCTATTAAGTTTGAAGGCAGCATTCTAAGATGTCCCTCTTGTTTGCAGTTGGCAGAATATCAGCTATTTCAGTCCAAGCAAGGAGTTGCAGTGGAAACAGCTAATTACGTCCACTGTGCCTCTACTCAATTCTACTTACTCCCTGGTGCCTGCTCCATCCTCTCAGGGAGAGAAGGTAATCAGACAGATGTGAGCAGGTGCATAGGACCTAGTGCATCCACTAGCACTGAGAGCAATTGGTTAATACCCTTGGAGCTAGTTAAACCCTTGGTAAACAGTTCCAAACTCTAGCAGATGGTCTAGTGGTCTCAGTGGCGCTGTTCAACATCTCTATGACTCCATACAAGGAACTAAATTCTTAGGATTGCTCCTCTCTGGGATATTCTATTTAACATTTTATGATTTTACTCTACAACCACTATCGTTTCTCATAATGGAGAGCTTGGCCTGGTTCTATTTTTCTCCACCAGTAGAATGACACAAATGGATGACAGTCCATGTGGTTAACACTCACCAAGGACTTGAATATGTTTTCACTTTACAACCAAAGAAGCAGATGGATAACTGAAACTCTTACAAGTCATCCAAGGGCAAACTCTCAGCCCCTATCCCACTGGACAAGCCAGTTATACTGCAACCCAGCTCTAATATTTATCCTCTTAGAGGACAACAAAATTACTGATGTAAAAATCTTACTGGAAATACTTCTTAAACATATTTTTAAACAACTTATTCTGTTTCTTGCACTGTTTTGAATACTACAAAGGTCAACCTCAAATGGATAATTACTAAATACTCCTGCCAGAATATCCATTTTTCCTTTATTCCATTTACATCCCTTAGATTGCCATCTTCCGCTCCCCGCCCCATCTATTTCTATTTTGTTCCCCACCGCCACACATCTTCTCAAACTGTGAATGCTATTTTTCTTAATAAAAGGCTACTTTAAAGGTTGATGTCCTGAATACATGCTCCTAAATTCTTCATACTCGTTACATTCCCTAATCAGAGATTGGTGTTTGGCTTTTATAACTCCAGTGACATGTGAATTGCCTCTTTGTCAGGAATATGTACGCATACAGCCACACTGCTTGGTGCTGCAATGGTATTTCCTCAACTCAGAATTAGATCCCTGAAGGAGAAAATAGTCTCAGGGAAGGGTGTGGGAGAAAAAAAATCAAGGAAATATATATCTTTGCAATTCTCCTGAGGACACTCCTAGATTCTAGCCCTCTTTCCTGGTGGCCAGAGTATGTTAGATTTTATTTTAGGATGGGAGAGATCACTTCTTTGTGGCTAACAAAAAGTATATGAGCATGTTCTCCTTTCCTGGATGTAGAATGGAAATCAGAAAACTTTTATGCCATTCTTAAATACAACTTTTCAGATATCCACTTGACAAAGATTCACATAACACCAAATAATGAGGTATTCCTTTTTAATCTCTGGTGATTAAATGATACTTGCTTTTACGTGAATGTTTTCATAGACATTGTTTTGTATAGACAGAGAATATGTGAGAACACCAGAGATGTATGCAGAGGAAATGGAGCCTAATGAGACTGACCATGAACTTCCTTTTAGCTTGCTCACAGGAAGCTATTAATTGCTAATGCTGTGGGGCTGAAGTGTGTTCTCTCCTCCGTACACTCCCCCAGTTTCATATATTAAAGCCTTAATCCCCAGTTCCTCAGGATGTGACCTTATTTAACTTATTCCAAGTTAAAATGAGGTCATTAGGGTGGGCCCTAAATTCATATGATTGGTGTTCTTATAAGAAGGAGGAATTTGGAAACAGCTGCAGGGAAAACGCCACGTGAATATAAAGGCAGTCATCTACAAGCCAAGGACAGAGGTCCGGAACAGGTCCTTCCCAACAGCCTCAGAAGGAACCAGCCCTCCCAGCACCTTGGTTTGGATTTCTAGCTTCCAGAACTGTGAGACAATAAATTTTTGTTGTTTAAGCCATCCAGGTTTTGGTACTTTGTTAGAACAGCCCTAGATGATGAATGTAGCTGCCTACTTAATATTTTGCCCTAGGAATAAAACTTTCCACTTCCACTCTTCACACACTACAATTCTACATTATTGTTGAAGAAACATGTATCTACAGTAATGTCACATTCGATCTCTTAACTTTAGGAAAAAACTATACTGTTCTTTAAATGGCGATGCCTTGCATATCATAATAGAAATTTTATATAGTGGCAAACAATATTGGCAATCATCTAAAACAAGCTTTACAATTTTAATGAATAAATGAAGGCAAGTAGAATTTCGACACCTTCACCCAGTAAGCTACTGGTGGAGATAGCTCACAGACCTCTCATTCTCTGTATTTTTCTACTATAGCACACAGCCACTCTCAACTAGTCACCAAGGATTTCATATCATTAAAATAATTTCCCCAATTTTTTCATGTTAAAAAATGTTTTAAGTCAAGATAACACAAGAATAAGTAAACATTAAGGTCACAAAAAATAGTTTACTCCACTGAAACCATGTTCTATTCCTACAAAGTCCTACCAATTACATTTTTTTTTTTTTTGAGACAGAGTCTCAAGCTGTTGCCCTAGGTAGAGTGCCATGATGTCACAGTTCACAGCAACCTCCAAGTCTTGGGCTTAAGTGATTCTCTTGCTTCAGCCTCCCAAGTACCTGGGACTACAGTCACTGGTTACAACACCTGGTTATTATTATTTTATTTTTTTGGCAGTTTTTGGCCAGGGCTGGGTTTGAACTCGCCACCTCCAGCATATGGGGCCGGTGCCCTACTCCTTTGAGCTGCTGGCGCCGTCCAGCCCAGCTATTTTTTGGTTGTAGTTGTCATTGTTGTTTGGCAGGCCTGGGCTGGATTTGAACCCGCCAGCTCCAGTGTATGTGGCTGGTGCCCTAACCACTTGAGCCTACCACTGACATATTTTCAGACTATACTTTCACTCTTACATGGTAGGTATATTTTTCTACCCTTCTGACATAAATGCAGCTATGGTAGGTGGCTCAATACTTTAGTATCTGCAGAAAGATTAGAATTTTCTTTTGAATTCTGCACACCCAAGTAGAGGAAATTATTTAGAAGACTGCTTGTGCTTTTGCCAATCCTCAGTAATAGTTTCCATAAGTTGCCTAGTATAGGCATAGGTAGTTTCAAAGAAAAATATTTTAATTAAAATTAAATTGATAATTATCATAAAGTCAAATACTTCTTGGCAGATCTTTTGGTTCCTTTCCTAATTATTTTCTGTGATCCTGATTCTGTTTTTTGAGAAGACTTAGGGTAAAGAAGGCAGGAATCCTTAAATAGCTAACACCGAAGACAACTTGGACTCTTCTACCCTAAAGAGTAGAAGATAAATTGGTTAAAGATATAATTAAATAGACTTCAATTTAAAACAAAGGAAACCTTTAAACAGAATCAGGATAGAAGTGGATGCTACAAAACATCTTTAGGGTTAGTCACTGGTAATATTCTAAGTATTAGAGTATCTTGGGTAAGGAAGCTTTGTTATAGAAAGAATTCAACCAGTGAAGAGACTCAATTAAATAGCCTTTATGGCCTTTTCTGTCCTAAAATTGGTGGTCCTATGAACTCAGTAGTCATCTGACAGGACTAACTTTTCCCCTCAACAAACACAGGGCTCATTTTTTCATAGTCTTCACACCCTCTGTGTTTAGTACACTGTGTAGTTTAATTAATAAACATTTAAATAACACAGAGATGAAACACTGGTCACAGTTCTCATATGTCAAGTTAGAGACAGGATTCATGTCAGACTTTTTTTGTTGCTACTCATATATTAGTATGAAATCATGTATTTTTTCACATATTGGGTGAGGCCAAAAAGCTGTCCTGGAATCATAAAAGGAAAAATTATTTTAATAGTCATATGACTCTTTGGGATTATTCTCTGAAGGGCTAAAAATATATAGTGCACTAGGAGACAGGCAAATACTAACCTCTTTCATTTTCTCCAGTTCGTTCTGTAAAGCTTGCTTGGCAATTTCAACTTCTATGAGCTGTTGCCTCAGTTTATCATTTTCTCCTTCTGTTGTGGTTCTCTTTTCTTCCACATTTTCCAGTTCATGGTGAAGTCTCACAGAGACATCCTTTGCAACCTGGATTACAGTAAGTGTAACAGTAAAATATAATTAAAGACAATATAATAAGCGGGCTAAAATTGTATTCCTATTGCACACACTGAAAGCCAATACTTACTGAGAACTTACCATGTGTCAGAAAGTGTTCCACAGGCAACCATTTAACCCTCCAAACAATCCCATTAGATTTGTATTATTGTTTCCTGTGTTACAGATGAGGAAACTGAGACTCAGAGAGGTAAAGTAACATCCTCCAAATCACACAGTCAGCCAGTGGTCTAGATATTACTCTAGATTTTGTTGCCGTAACTTCTACCCTACACCATGGTAACAATGTTTTATTGCATTTTATCATGCATAGAAAAGTTTCACATATCACCTTTAGTTCTACAACAAAACTGTGATGGATATTTTCATTATCACCTATGATAAAGAAGGGACAACAGAAATTTTTACAAGGGAGGGTGGGGCTTGAATTTCGATCTTATAACTAGAATTGCCTGTACTTAATTTTAAGAAACATTTTAGTTTTTGAGATTAATTTTTTGGAATGACTGTGCATTTTTGTCCCACACTTTGAGATTATCGTAGAAATGTTAGGGTATGAAAGAGAAGTGGAGCAGTCTGATGTAGAGACTTAGGATACCAGCTCATGGTTTTAGACAGGATGGAGAGTACGTCTGGCTACTTATTAGCTGCTTTCCACATCCGAGCACTTATCCCCTGTAAAATGTACAGCTTCTGCCTCTGTAAAACAATGCCATCAATAATTTCAACCTTATATGTTTTTTTCCCTTGAGAATTAAATGAAATAATAACATATGTAACTATGCTTGCCAAGTACCTGGTTTATAGTGAGCACTCAGATGTTAGGAAAGTAACAAAAGAAGTGATACAATAATGACTTTCAAAAATGTATATTCAAATATAGGATACTGTATTTGATTTTTATATCTTGATGAAGTTAATATAAATATAGGATACTGTATTTGACTTTTATATCTTGATGAAGTTAATATAGTTAAAAGTACGTTTACTTTGGGCGGCTACTGTGGCTCAAAAGGGCAGGGTGCCGCCCCATGTACCAGAGGCAGCAGGTTCAAACCCAGCCCCGGATGTTTATTTGGTTGTGTAAGGCAATTTATCCAATATCTGATTTGCACTGTCAAGGAATCACCCTACAATCAGACTGAACTGGAGAATACACTTGTCTAAAAAATGCATTTCAAGGTTGAGATTTCTCCACTGGGAGAGATTCTGAAAGAGCAGGCTCGCTTTACAAAACGAGGTTCTTTCATTTACATGACGCTCTTTTCACCTCTCCAAACCCAGCTGCAGGTTGGAGAGTTTTCCTTGCAGGGAGTTACCTGCGTGGCAAGTACAGAAAGGAAGAAACCTGTGAGGCAGAGGTGAGGTGGGGACTTGCAGCCGGAATCTTTAGCTGTAAGTCTGCCCGGTGCTGTTCCCCTTCTAGGTTTCAACTCCGAGAGAGGGGTCCTCATAGTGCTACCCTTGAATGCAAGGATTCCACCCCACCAGGCTGTGGGCTTTCACCGGGAAGACAGACTCCAGGCCAGACCAAGGCCACAGCCTGTGCTCTGCCACACCTTGTTCTCACCACACCCCCCGCCCCGGGAGAGAGGAGTGGTCTTCCCTTGACCTCTGGAAGAGCCACAGTTACTCCCAGAAGAGCCTGCCCAGCTCATTTCGGCCAGGCCCTCCGCACACCGGACTCCTTGGACCTGCCTGTGAGCTCTCCCCCTCCCGGGACCCTGCTATTTTGTGTCAGTAGGGCGAAGGAAGCTCTGTGTTCCCAGAGCCCTTTACCAATCATCGCCCAAGACATTTCGGCTCCGAGTCCCTGCCCAAAGTCCCCACCAGCCGCCCGCGCCCCGGAGCCCGCCCCCGCCGCAGACCTTGAGGTCCTGCTCCAGGCTGCGCAGCAGCTCGCCGTCGATCTCGCCCGTCTGCGCGTAGCGGAGCCGCTTGCGCTCGGCTTTGCGGAGGCGGTACTGCAGGATCCGGCAGTTCTTGTTGGCTCTCTCCAACTCGTGGCGCATTTCCTGCAGTTGACAGGCATCCTCCTCGAAGAAAGTGTCCCTCATCTCGTCCATCTCGGTTCTCAGCTCATCGATCTCGTTCTGAGGTGGTGACAGGCCGCGGGTCAAAATTAGCCTCACCTTCAGCCCCTCCGACATACACCGTGCACACCCCATTCCAAAGCCAAATTCTCTGCTTTATTTCCTGCTCTCCAATAGAATAGTGAAGAAGCCGACTGAAGGAGAGGAAACTGGAAAACGGGTCCACTCTAGGCCTTCTCTCTCTCACTCTAGCTTTCTCCACGAAAAGTGGGACAAACCATGGTAATAAGAGAAACGAAGGCCCAGATTTGGATTTAAATGACAACCTAAGGGTACTGAGATCGGGTTCTGTTTCCAAACCTGACAAGGCCTAGGCCCCCTCCTCCCCCGTTCCTGTTGCCCTCCCTCTTGAAGGCTCCCTAACGGGTCAGCATCCTCTCAGCCCCGCCGGGACACGCCCTAATCCTCAGATGCCCACGCCTCCCCTCCCCCACCCGGCTCCCCCACCCTCCTCACCTTGAGAGTCTCGTTCTCCTCTCGCAGCTTCTCCATCTCCTCCTGCATTTCTTCCTGCTCCTGGAGCTGCTGCGGGTGCGGCTGCGATGAAGGCGGCGCCGCCGCCTGCATGCCCCCGCCGCTGGCGCTGCCCTCCGCGCTCTGCTGGGGGCCCTCGGCCGCCGCCGCCATTGGGGCGGTAGAAGGGACTGCGAGGGGCTCGCAAATGGCAGGGGCACCGGCAACAGGGGAGCCGCGGCTACTGCCACTGCCACCGTTCTTAGTGTGCATCTGAGCCGCGGCTGCCGCCGCGGCCGCCCGCTCCTTCTTGAGATGGAACTGGATGAGCTCAGACTGCAGGCATCCTTCCTTCCAGTAGCCTCCGCCGCCGCTGCCGCCCCCTGCGACGCCGCTTCCGGAGTTTCTGCTGCCGGGGCCCGGGATTTTGCCCACGGGAGAGGAGGATGTCGAAGGGGAGGCCCCCTCCCCGCCGCTGCCGCCCCTCTGCTGAGCGCGGGTGCCTTTCCCTCGCCAGCCCCTGGGCGGCGGCGGCGGCTGCGGAGAGCCCCCCTCCCTTTCCCCGGAGCCGTCTCCGGCTCCTCCTCCTCTCCCGTCCCCTCCTCCCTCTTCTCCGACCGGAGAGGGTTCCCCGTGTTTTGAGGACACAGGATCTAGCTCTCGGGGCTGCTCTTCCGGTGGCCCGGACCTCCTGCTGCCCAATGCCGCCAGGGTCGCGGCGGGGGCCGCTTCAGCACCAGCCGCAGGCTGAACAGCTCCCGGCGCGGCCCCCTTGGGCGCCGGGGGCGCCGCCTTCTCGGCCCCGCCTCCACCTCCGCGGCCGCCCGCCGGAGGCCCCGCGCGGCTCCCGGTCCTGTTACCCTGCTGCTGGGGCTGCTGTTGCTGCTGCCGAGCAGAATTGAATTTAGTGCTAGCCCCCACTGGGGACCGCGTGGTTGCGGTTGTCTGTCGGAGCGAATTGTCCCTTGGTCTGGCGGGTGACTGAGCTCGCGGCTGCTTTCTGCTGCTGCCCTCCGGGTGCAGGCGAGCCTCAGTGGCCGCGGAGGCGGCAGAAGTCGCGGCTGCGGCGGGGGCAGCGCCCCCGGTCGGTGGCTGACTCATGCCTGTCTAGGAAGAACCTACTGGATGCGATTTGGAATCGTCCATCACTAGATCATCCTTTTCCTTCTTCACCGCCACCAACCTTCCTTTTTAAGCTGGGACAGAAACAAAAGAAGGAAAGCACACATGTCGACATTGTAACAGAGTAAAGGGTGATGTTATTATACAAGAGAAGCTCCAGAAAATGACGAGATTTAGAAGAAGCTTAACATAAGCTTTGACTTTCGAAATAGAATACAGAGCGGTCAATTCTCATTTTGCCCACGGTGGCGCTGTCTCCGTCTCGCCCCACCTCAGTAAAATGATGACGAAAGCGAAGGCAGCTAAATAGTACAGTCTCCCAGTAGCAGGGTTTGGAAAGGGTGAAATACAAAGTCAGAAATGTATTGATGGAAATGGAGATAGAAAAGAAACAAGGATAAAGTCAAGAAGAAGCTTCAAAAACAAAAGGTGTTCACATGCTAGAGTCATCAAACTCCTGCTTTCACAACTTTGGCTTTCCTCCCCGTCTATATTTAATGAAGAAGGTTTTACTTAATCAGTATTCTGGAGCGTCAATTAGAGGAAAAGAGTTATGATGTAAGACACCTACAGAAAATTTGATACGTGTAAGTGAACTTTTCTCAAGCAACTTCCAGTCCCTACAGTTGTTTTTAGAGAAATGAACTGAATTTCCTTTATAACAGAACTAAAAGAAAATATAAATAATCCGCCTTAGTTTCAAGAAAATAATGGCATTAAGAATTATTTATGTGGTTCAGTTTTTAGCAACCCCAAATTCTGTTGTTGTTGTTGTTGATTTGATTTGTTTAGCTTTGGGAAATAATTTTTAAAATTCTTTTAGAAAAGTTCAGCTCTACAGATGATCTCAAGTTTCTGGTGATGAATTTCTACACATATCCAATCTCACAGTTCTTGTGAATCATTTTAGTTTTAAATGTAATTGCTAAGTAGAAAATAAATACATTCTGAAGCATCTTTTTAGATGGCACATCATAGGCAAAGATGTACTTTTAAAGTGCCCATTTCCTTTTTTAAAACAAAATTTGACACAGAATGACCCTGTACCCACAAGGCTGGTACCTCTTTCCTCTTGATCCTAAGATCAATTTCTATTTTATATCCAACATAAATCCATCCCCAGATTCTTTAATCTTCAAAATAGCAAGCTACTGCCTCATGGCTTCTTTTCCCTAGTGATCCAGCAGCCAGTCAAGTTATGTACCCTTTCCTTAGAATCAGTTCCCTCTAAAGCACTGAAAAGGCCATGACTAGGCATATAGTTTTGCTTTAAGAAGCAAATTCCTTTTATTAAGAAAGAAGGTTACTTTACTGTCAGTCATTGCATTATACTTGTAGTCTATTTTTAGTATAACTTAGCATGCAGTGATTCCTCATTTTATAAAGAAATATTATTGGAGGAATCCTCCACTTCCTCCCTTTTTGTTTCTGTTATCTCTTTCCAGAAACAGAAGGATTGTAAAGATGAACAAAGAGACCGTTAGGGAGGAAAATGCCCAGCAACTTATTTTCTACATCTTCTCTTGGAGACACACTACTAAATGTCTGGCCTTCCTCATCAGCATGGGTCACACTAATGTGGTCCACACAACTAAAGTTATATTGCCAGTGCAAACTAATTTTTTATTTTTAATTAGACACAACCATACCGGAGCAGAGAAGCCATCAGATAATGCTTAAACTCAGCCCCTAGACACCTTTAACCCCGGAGAAAACTTGTTTTCCAGTAACAGGGCTGCCACAGTCGAAGGTACCTGGCTGCCATCACGTGGTTCTCACAAAATGATAAGACGCTGTGTCTCTTCAAGGCTTCCCCGGGTGGAAATCACCACCGAACCAAACCTTGGCCCAGCTCAAACCAACACTTCCAATCGCAAGTTTTATCTGCCCGCTTACCCACCCCATCTCTCATCCCCATCCCTTTAGAAATCCAGAACTGCTCACTTCTCGGCAGAGGCGATGTTTGGAAGAAGTTGATGCAAAGCAACACCGCTTTCCTTTTGATATTCCGGGGATCTCAGGATTTTTTATTGTGCCTTTCGGAGCGGAGAAAAAGTTCAACTTCGTAGGATTATAGGAGACTTTCTAGCTGTGCAGGACTTTGGGCCGGCTCTCCCCAGTTCCACACCCACTTGATTTCTCCAAACAATGGCGGTAACGTCAAGCCTCAGCTGCCCCCAGAGCGGGTCACTTCCTGGCGGTCCGCTGCTGGGCTGGCGCTGCGTCTCCAGCAGGCTAACGCGGGGGGTACCACGCAGTGCCAGACGCTCCCCAGGAAGTGCGGTGATATTCATGAGCTGACCTCACCGGACTGGGCAGGGGAGAGGGCGGGATTGCAAGGAACGACAGGGTGGGAGTAACCAGAGACCTTACTTTCAAGAGGAAAGACAAGACGGCAGGGACGGGGGTGGGGGCTGCGGGACAGAAGGACAAAAAGGCCAGAGCCACCGCCCGAGATGGAAGGCTGGCAGCAGCGCTCAGAGTCCTTGCTCCACTGTCATCCTGTACTTGGCAGAAGCTTCCAAAACCGCTTGAAATCGGATGCACTGGTTTTCTGCAAAGCTTTGTTCTGGATCTGATCAATCGCCATCAATTATTTACTTGAGCTCTTTTCCAAGGAGGCAGATTCCAACAGCCTTTTGGGCGTGACTGACGCCTCCTGATGCAGCTCCAAGGCGCTGGCAGGCGGCTGCCGGGAGTTCTCTTTGTTCACTCACTTTAATTCTCAGTCGAGCTCTCCACGCGGTGCTGGTCCCCACCCCCAGCCCGGGCGGAGTCATCGGAGGTGGTTTCCATGAATGGATAATGGTTGCCACGGTGGGACCCACAGTCCTACAGACAAAGGTTTCTTGCGAAGTCACCACTGATTTAGTGCAAACGGAATAAATACATCCCTACAGAGATCGTTTTCAGATGGGTTTGCCCTCGGTACAGTTTCCTCTGTCCTTTATTGAGTGCAGGAACTATTGCTGGGATCCACAATCCTTACTGTAGTGCATGTGGGTAACAGGAATCAGGAAGAATGAATAAGATATCAGATTAAAGGCGGGGGAAGGACAATTCAGAATATACGCCTTTACAATTTACACTAATCCATGCAGGTCCATAGCAACAATAGTTTGTACATTTGAGTGGAAATTTCTCTTTTCTAACCGTGTTGCCTGGGGGCAGTGAGCTTGGGAGCCTCCCTGCTACCTCTAAGAATTCCTTTGTGAGCTTGAGGTAGAGAATAAAACTACTTTGGAAAGGGCATCTTTTGAAATTAAATTTCTTTCTCACTACTATGATAATTTTGTAAGTGAAATCAGGTAAATACCTTGAAATAAAAATTGTTGATATACTAACATGAATTTTAGTACAAAAGATTTTGTTTTCCAAGTGGACATTTAGCATTAAAAGTGAAATAAAAACAATTTAAAGTATTTTGCATACTATCCTTAAAGGAAATAAAAATATGTTCAAGCCCTGGCAATTAATATCTCCGTAACAGAAGACAAATGTAGTATCAGAACAAACTCATTCCGGTTCCAAAATAGATATTATAATAATATGAAGAGCTCATTTTGTGTCTGGTACTGTCCAAGGTGCTGGGGAGAAATTGTCTCTATGCTGGGGAGGGTTAAGCATATTGGTGAGAATTGGGATAAATAAGATAATTCATTTTAATTGAAATGCTTTGGGATAGTGGAAAAGTGGCATCTACGACATCTACAATAAAAGGCTCAAATCCTGGGCAGGCCTGTGGCTCAAAGGAATAGGGCGATGGCCCCATACACCAGAGGTGGTGGGTTCAAATCTGGCCCCGGCCAAAAACTGCAAAAAAAAAAAAAAAAAAAAAAAAAAAAAAAAAACCCCAAACAAACAAAAACTCAAACCTTGACAGGCATACCAAAAATAAGAGGAAAAAAAAAGTAAGCGAGAATGTAATAAGTTTGTTTGAATTTATATTAGACGATTTCTCATCATGTACATAAACATGAATTGTAATAGCCCTAAGAAATATCAAGATCTATAGCTCTTATTCAATCATAACTGATAAAATAGATGCCAAGATTTTTAATGTCAATCTTTCCAAATAAAATATTGACATTGTAAATATAGTCTGGAGGTACAAAACATACCATCCCCTTTCTCTAACAACTTGTACTCTGCTCAAGCATTTTATTTTAGTGCTTTCCTAAGGTAATGTTATTTATTTCAATACAATTAGTAACATTAAAGAGTCTAATTAAAATCAAGAATGCATTATTTAGATACATGTTACACAATCTACCTGAATGTTTCATTTTATAATTTTTTTTGGCCGGGGCCGGGTTTGAACCTCTCACCTCCAGTATATGGGGCTGGTGCCCTACTCCTTTGAGCCACAGGCACCACCTTCATTTTATAATTTAATATAACCAACTTCAAGGTTGAAAACTATAATAATATGGGGTAAGCATAAGCAATATTTAAGACACTTCTTAACACATGCAAATATACCACAGAGGCCAGTTAGGGTGGCTCATGCCTGTAATCCTAGTGTTTTGGGAGGTTGAGATAGGAAGATAGCTTGAGATCAGGAACTCCTCAGTTGGGAACATAGGAAGACTCCATCTTTACCAAAAAAAAAAAAAAAAAAATTAAAAATTAGCTGGGCAGGGTGTTGCCTGTCTGCAGTCCTAGCTACCTGGGAGGCTGAGGCAGAAGGATTTTGTGCCAGAAATTCAAGGTTACAGTGAACTATGATCAGGCCACTGCACTTCAGGCCAGATGACAGAGTGAGAGCCTATCTCTAATTAAGTAATTAATATTGCCATAGGAAAAGAAGAACTTTTGAATTGGAAATTTGTCTAGTTTACTTTTTTATTTGTGGGTTAAAATGATATTTTTCCAATTGAGCCTATCCCAAAGGTGATTACTAAAAATTTTTTTCTAGAATTTGGCAAGACTTTGGCATTATTTTTAATGTGTTTCAGAGCAGGGAAGACAACTGACCTTTTAATGACTACTTGTAATAATGCATCATCCACTTCATACCACAGCAAGATGTAGAGCTTAGATCAAGGGAAGAAGGCTAAAGTCTCAACTTTGAAGCCTTTAGGAAATACACAGCTTAAAATGTCTATCCTTTGATTCTCATGACTTTTGCCATACCACAGTATCTTAATCTGTAGATATTTAGTTTCCAGGCCCTTCCACTTTGTGAGTACAAAATACAATGAAGTAAATACTATCTTCCCCATTTAAAAACTGAGTTTCAGAGATGTTAAATGATTTACTCAAGTTTAGTTTCACAGTCACAGCTTCAATTTGGTTCATCTCTTCTATAAAGTCTGCTTGTTATATTGATCTTGGATAGCTCACTTCTTTTTCATACTACAGTTTAAACATCTGTATGTCCACATCTTATTTTATACCTGTAACCCAGTTCAGTCTGTTCACCTATGCATAGAATATCTACATTTGGAGGTCACACTATCTCCCAAACTCTACATGAAATTTTTCTCTTTTTTTCTAACTGGTATCTATTTCTATTCTATTTTTCTTTTATTGAAGAAAAGCAATACATTCTATACCTATTTTTCTTGCAGAAAAACCATCATTTGATACACTTTCCCACTAAATGTTTTGTTTTACCCCCTTTTTTTTGCTTATCCATTTTTTCTTTCTGACTATCTTATACTTTTATTTTTTATTTCCCTCTGCAATCACTACCAAAAATCAGGCACTCATAATTCTATGCTTAGACTGTGGCAATACTTCCTATTTAAATTATAGATTCTTTCTCGCAAATCTACACTGCTTAATGATGACAATTTACACCCTTATTAAACACTTTCCTCATGTCACTTTGCTTGTACTCATGTCCAAATTCTTATAGCATGTCCAGATTCCTCTTTCTAGACGTCAAGGAAATACCCTGTCTCATCCTACATTAAACTACGCCAAACACTTCACACCATGCTCTCTGCCCTAGTTAGATGTAGTATCTCTTTTCCCCATGATCCTGCCGGCCCCCTGACATTCTGCCTCTTGACATTCCCCACACCTGTTGTGTGTCCTTCCTCTTCCGTCTAAAATCTGCCCATATTTTAAGGTTCAAATCTCCCTATTACACGAATTTAGGCAAGTTATTTAAGCTCTATGACCCTCAGTTATTTTCACTTACTCTTTCATTTATTTATTCATACATGTAACATATATTATTGGATTCATGTTATTAATTATAGCTAATTTATGTGATTATTATTATAAAATAGTAAAGGTAATTCTTATCCCAGTAGATAAAACATAGTAATCACAACTACAGGTAAGTGATGATTACTATGTGCCTGGTACTATAAGCTGTCAATCAATATTAGCTAACATTGTTATTATAAATGTTATCATCATATTAACTTAAACAAATTTTATTATTCCTGATTTTATATAAAATTAATGTCACACTGTTAGAAACACTTAGCTAGTCTTGGATTATTTCACGATTGTTCATCTAGGTAGCAAATATCTTAAGATAATATTCCTGTTTTCCTCATTTTCTCCAGCAGAGAACTGGACACATCGAAGTTAGTGAATATCTAAGTTGGTAGAGTCCTAATAGAGAAAGGCTAATACTTTTGGATCCATTTTCTGTTTTTAGAGAGTGATTTAGTTTGGAGATGTGCCATTGTCCTGACCTTTATTGGTGTATTTATGTAGTCACACACCACATTTGTTCCCTGGAATATATTTCAGATAATAATTAGTGAATCATAGACTCCTTGAATTGTAAACACCATGATTCATCTTTTTATCTCTAAGTAGGCCACCCGAACCACATTCTACATTGGGTTTAGCCTAATTTCAGGCATTTTAATAAAGGATATTCTTCTATCTCTCAGAGTAAATGTACACATTTTATAACTTAACATTACAACCCACAGCATACAGTTTCATTTGTATAGTGGATCAAGGCAGCTCTGTCAATGACAGATATTGCTAGTCTACTGTGGGTGCTTTAGTTACTCATGCCTTTGCTGTTGTATAAATTTGCACTTGAGTCTGGCAAAGACAAATTTCTATTGTGTTACATCTGTAAATGCTCATAAATATTCATTTTGTAATTCCATCTGATGTCTAGCCACTGATTTTGGCCAAAATACTGTTGAACGCCTGATTTCAATTCAGCTACAAGTTTAGTATTATCTAACTCTTAGTTAAGATTTTTAACAACTCTGGCACTTATTATACAAATGCCATACACACTTAAGATTACCATTAAATTTTTCTCTAATATCACTAGTTTAATAACTCACAACCATTACATTTTCTATATTAACCATTTAATAACCCTTTATCTCACCTTCTTGTAACTCTCAGCATTCATCAGTAGTTGTTGTACCTTC